AGTTACAACAGAACTCCTCTCCAATGTACTTCACATATTTTCTGAGACAGTAGAGGGATCTTAATATAAATTCACAGTTAGAGGAATGGCTAAATGTTCTGCTATCCTTGGCAGTAACAAATTTCTTTTTAGTACCTATCCTCTGTCAAACAGCTGTTGTAATAGATGGTTTAGAAACTTCAGTGTATGATAGGATTCTTTTTCTTCAGCAGCTTAGTAAATTGGGTTCTGTTGAGTTTTTCTCTTGCATATTACTAGGAGAGGATTGATAAAGATTAATTCTTGTTTAATATTTGAGATTAAAATATCTAACTTCATGGTTAATTAGATTCCTTGAAAATTAAGGAGAGCTCAAATGTTGGGATGGCAAAAGGAAATAGGGTGTTTATAATACAGCTGGTTCCCATCTTGGGGGATAAAGAGTAGCGGTAAGTCAGTTCAGCTACATGCTGCACTTGTTATCCCTTTTCAATATTGTGTAACACCTGGATGCAGTCTGTAGGACACACTGATAATTACAAAAAAAAAAGGCATCATACTGCCTGTGGAGTTCCTGAAATGCAATGGGTCATTGTGTTGATTTTAAGTAAAAATGAGCCACTGGAAATAAATCTGGTACGAAAAATGAGCCTTTGGTAGTGCTTAGTATTTTAACCCTTCTGAGATTTGAGGATTAAGAATATTCATCTTCTGAGTTACCCCCTCCTTTCTTGTGTTTCAGGGAATCTAGAAGGACCTATAGCATTCAGTTTCTTATCTTGAACTCTTCTGCTTACAATTGCTCCCTTCTGACTGGATAACCAATACTCTGCGTTTGTAGGACTCTGGTCCAGCTAGCTGAAGACAATTTCTGTGCCCCAGCTGAAATAAGAATGTCTCAGTGATATTGCCTCCTATCATAGTGTCAGAAGCCCTCAGACTTTGTTGTGTTTTTCTTAGACCACAGCATCTGAGTTCTCTTAGGGTTCATTGTGAATGAGTGGAGGGAAGAGGAAAGCCTGTCCCTTGTGGTTGCAAAGAGAAGCTTAGACATACCAAGGAACCGAATACGATTTTTAAATTTTTGAGTATCATTTTAGTGTTGAATCAATCATATGACTCTGAGGGGGGAGGATTTTGAAAGGATTCAAAAATTCCAAGATTTTCAAATGCCTAAGTTGCCATTATTGTGAATTGGTGACCAGAGGAAAATCTGTTAAGAGGCGGGTGAACAATGAGAGAACGTCTCGCGCGCAGAGTGTTTAAGGCTGATTTGCCCTCTTCTTCTCCATAGACTAAGTTGTCTCCCCAGTACTAGTAAACTGGTTTTGCTGCTGAAGGAGACTCAGAACAAAGCAGCAGACAGGAAAGGGGGAAAGGAGGCTGTGGTGGGTTGATCTTGGCTGGCTACCAGGCTGTGCTCTCGCTCCCTCCCCGACCAGGACCAAGTGCCAAAACCTTGGCATGTAAATCCAGTACAGATGCAGAGAGAGTTGTGTGTGAGGAAGCTCAGTAAAGCTGAATCTGTTAGTGTTTGCTTGTTGTACTTAGACGTTAACCACTGCTGTCACCTCTGTACCGGTAAGTTAGATCAACAGTTTGAGCTGACCTGTGAGAAGTGAATAGTAAGAGTGGAGTGGCCGAGATGCTGAAGAGGCCTCATGGAAGCAAGGAGGAGTCCCAGGGCTCCAGCTGGACAGTGTGTCCTTGTCTGCTGTCAGCTCACAGGGGAAGGATAGAACAGAAATTGGTGGGTGCAGCTGAAGGTGGTGATCCAGGTGCCAGGTACAAACTGGATCTGCCCTTTCTCTTCTTTTTCTTGGGTCTGCATTTTCCATGCTTGAAAGTCTCGCGACAGCGGTGTTCCCCATCGCAGCTCTGAGTGCTGTTTATTGGATGGACCCAGCGCAGAGGCAAGTGGATCATTTCAGCAAACTCCAGAAGACAAAAAGTAGATGAGAGGGACAGAAGCACCAAGTATTGGCCAGATTAAGAACTCCTGATGAAGAAGGACACTCAGCTGTGACAGGGAAGGCTTTGGGGGTGAACTTGGAAAGTGCTGCAATACCTCTCAAGGTGTGAAAGCACGATCCAATCTCAACAGATTTCCCTGAGATGAGTTGGTACCAAAAGTGCCTGTACTAAAATAAAAGGGCCCTGTAGCACAGTACTTTGTCTCTGACCAATTCACGCTGCTGAGAGGGGAGACAGTAAATGATCAAGCATTTTGTGAATGTTTTTTAATGTTTAGTGAAATGTAAGTGACCATAACCTCTGTGGCAATTAGATGTCTTCACAAGTACTGGAAGGTGTATTTGTTATTCAAGTGGATAGATGTGGTGTCTCTTTTAAAATGGTGTGATCAAGGGCGTTCTAGTAGCGGCAGGGTGAACACTGTGTTTGCCTTTAGTTTTCAGTCCAGAAGAAGCAGATAAGTTGACTTTTGCTTTGTTTGAAGGCAGGCTTGTTTAGGAAGTAGATCCAAGGAAGGGATGGCAAAAGTGGTGATCATCTTCCCTGTGCACAATGGCAGTATCGCAGTGCAGCTGGCAGTTGCTGTTAGTGCAGGTCACCCATCTGCATTTGGAACTGGCTGATTGACAGAAGAAGAAAATGGACATGGACTTGTAACTAAGTGTATCTCTGCAGGAAGTAGGTAGATGTAAGATGCAATCGATAAACTGCAAGAACAATTAGCAAAGTACCGAGAAAGCACGTGAAGCCTGGACAGGCTTTTGAAGGTTATGGCATGAGAGAAGGGCTGTTTGGATTGAATGTGGGAGAAGAAGGGTCCAAAGCAGAATGAAGAAATCACTTTTGGATAGAGGCCAGCAGAGGAAAACGCTTGACAGGATTTGTAGTCACTGCCTGGAGGGATTGGACATGCCCTTTTTCAAAAGCTGTCAGAGCTTGAGCATCTGCAGGCCAGGTGGCTGCAGAGCAGCTGTTGTTCATGGGATCCCAGTGGGAAGCAAAATGCTAGCCAACCTTTTAGCAAGGCAATGTATCCACAAATAACCTAATTCTGTCAGAGCTTAGTCCCTGGTGGCCTAAGCAATGTTCCCGGCCTCCTTCACTGGGCTGCAACCTGTAATCTTTTATTGGTTTTATCTTCCCACAGTGTTTTTCTTCCTGATAGCTTTTTACTGATCTTTAGGTGAAACCAATAGCTAGGTTTTTTAAATGCCCCTTAAAGCATCTGTGTGTATGCGGAGATTGTGATTTCAGTGAGCTGGAGTGCTTTATGGTAGAGGGACTCTGGAAGCTCTTGGCTGACAGCAGTGCATGAAGGAGAGCATAGGGAAGGGTGAGGGAATGGGGACACAGCAGCACCCAGGCATGTAAAACTGAAAGAACTTAGTAGTTGCTGGACTGGGACCCTGGGGGAGAGGTATTCTGGGGTAGAGTGGAGTGCAGGTGGAGTTTGAAAGGATGAAGGAGCTTAAGATAGGAGGGATTTGGGCTGGGGAAAGTCAGGAAAGAGCCTGGAGAGAACGGGGGACCTGTAGGTTGTTTATTGAAAAGGTTGAGATGGATGAGAGGGTAGGGGAAGCCTGGGGGTTGAGTGGATGGAGCTTCAGCTGAGAAGTGTTGAGAGGACATAACAATTTTGACCCCATACGGGACTACATTAGCAGCTGAGGCCGGGGATTATTCCCCCTATTCAGCAATTGTGAGACGACATCTAGAATACAGTTTTCAGTTTGGGGCTCCCCAGGACAGGAGGGGCATTGACATGCTGGAGCATGTTCAGTCGAGGGCCATCAAGATGATTAGAGAGGTGGAGCAGGACTTGGGAGAGGCACAAGGAACAAGTTGGAATGTGGTAGATTCTGATATTAAGGGGGCTGCTTTTTTTTTTTTTTTTTTTTTAAACAAAGAAACAAACAAACATAAGGTTTTGGATTCTGGAAGGGGTGCTCAGAGACATTGTAGACTCTTGGAGTTACTCTGTTACTCAAGATTCAGTTGGACAAAGCCTTGATCAACCTAGTCTGGCTGGTCCTGCTTTGGCTGTGAGTTTAGACTAGGTGACCTCCAATATTTCCCTCCAACCTAGATGGTTCTGTGGGTCGAGGTGGGAGGGATAAGAGCTAGATGCTGTGGCACGAGAAGGAAAGCTCTGGAGTTGAGGTCAGGCATCAAGGTACAAGGAGGTATTAGAGTTTTGGGGTATGATGGGGTCCTGCTTGAGTCCCTGGTTTGGGAAGATAGACATAGTAAACCTCCTCTGCTGTCATCCTTCCTGACTCTCTTCAAATTCCCCCCCCCCCCTTTTTTTTTTTTTTTGCAGTTGGAAATATAGTAGTTACATCTCACTTATGGTTATTTTCTTGTTAAGGACCCAACTCATGCACCATTGAAATTGCAGCCTTCAAAATTAGGTCTTAAATGCAAATAGTTTTATCCTGCAGAGTCAGTGGCAGAACTGGCAATCTGCAAGTCACATTATTTAAAGGGACATTCTCCTTTTTTTTTTTTTTTAAGTTGTGGCATCCCAGCTTAATACCACTATGTATTTAGATGGTTTGGTTTGGTTTTTTTTTTAAGACTTTGAATAGCCAGTGCAGAACTGCATATGCATTCCTAACTAACTCTACACTGGCATAGAATTAAATGCACATTAATTCCAGGAGACATTTTCTTCTTTTCCTTCTGTGGATGCACAGGATAGTCCCAGTTTTGAGCTGCTATCAACCTGGGCGCAGCATGACTTGAATTATTGAAGAGGGACAAGCAAAGATGGTTTACAAATTGTCCAGAACTGCTCAGCTGTCTGCAGTTACTTATACTCACCTACCACAAGATATTCCACTTGACTGCATGTCTGAGACGTGGAGGATAGATTTATTCTTCTTTGTCGTATGTGTGCCAAAAAATACAGCATATATAAAAAAGCATTTGTATTGAACTTACTTGTGTCTTGTAGTTTTCAGTGCTAAATCTTAATCTGTTAAAAAGTTCTCACAGATCATTAAGTTGTATCTCCAAATGAAAAGATTTTATTTTCTTGCTTTTAGGAAATTGAAAAATGAGCTTCTGGAAGTGAGAAGGAAAGGTGGCAACCGTCATTGTCAACAGGACAACGGCAGGGTCTGTGTTCGCTGTCAGAAAAGCCTGGGCTTAATCTTTGACCGAGGAGACCTGTGCCAAACCTGCAAACTTCGAGTTTGCAATAAGTGTCGTGTCGTGGGAACTGACGGGCAGTGGAAGTGCTCAGTGTGTGCCAAGATTGCGTAAGTTGTGCAGCTTTCATAAATACATTTAGAGATTACCGCTGTATAAGTAATTTTGTACTGGTGTTACTGTTTTACATCCCCTTCGCACAAAAGCATATGCATAGCAAGCACACAAGGGGAGAGGCTTATCTGGTGGTTTTATTTGCCGCACCGTTTTGCAGTATCTTTTTTTCCAATTCCAAGCCAGTTTCAACTAGCTTGCTTTCTAACGAAAGCTGCGAGCATCACAGATACTAAGCTGTTGGTGGGAAGTACTAAGAAAATGACAGAAAATCTGTTACAAACCAGTGACAGTCTATTCACATTATGAAGACATAAATGTAAGAAACAAGTAATTCAAAATTAACAAAACAGAATTAAGGATAAGTGACGTCTGTATGTTCTGACTGATGTGGTAGGTGGATTTGTAAGGAAAGAGATATAAAAATTGTGAGTCCAAGCACTTCAGTCCATGTTTCTATCCTTGCTTTTTTTGTGTGTTTACAGTAACTGAACATCTCTGCATGAAGAGAGGACTGTATTTATAATGGCTCTATTAGTGAGCATTCTAAAGTAAATTGTGCTATGGTGGGAGGTAAAACAAAAGGGGCTATCACATTTCTCACAGTTGGAATATTGAGCATGGGGAATGGAGGAGGAGGGTAGCAGATCACAGTGCTGAAAAGCAGAAAATCTGTATTCTAACACAGGATATCGAGCGAGTAAACAAAAAGATGTTATATGTTCAAAGACATTTACTTGGTGTATACTTGGAAGAATAATTCACTTAATTGGTATGGTAATATGCCATTTTGTAGCTTGACTCAGATAACCATGAAGGAAAGCAGAAATGTATCAGGCAACAAACCTCAGTTATGTATCCTGATGTAAGAACTGGATGGTATACAAAAAAGACATGATAAAATAATCATGTCAAAGGGGGAAAGAATCAGAGCAGTTTCAGAGGGTTGTTTTTTTTTTTTTTTTTACTGACCATCAAACTAATAAGATCAGGAAAATAAGGCTTTTTGTAAATTGTATCAGAGTGTGAACCTAACTTGCTAGTTACATCAGACTTTGGCTACCTAAACAGTTAGTGAAAAATTAATACAGCAGGACATGGAGTTTAGGGTTCGTGTCTTCTAACTTCAGCTTTAGAGGGTTAACATCTGTTTTTAGCTAGATGCCTTAACCTTCTCTGCAGCCAGTGGGGCACATACAGAGGAAAATGTCTTACCTCTTAAGATGAAACATGTTCAAGGACTTGATTTTGTGAAATTATTTTAAATTGGTAGGGGCCTGGCTGAGCTCCTCGCGGTTTGTTTCAGCCAGTTCCTGAGATGATCTCAGTGCCGTGCCTTTCAGAAATGATGGGGTGCAGTTGAGATGACAGAGTGGAGAATGGCAAACACAATACTACTCTTTAAAAATGAAGACAGGAAGATCAAGGGTTGTTGTCCCTGTCAAATTACCTTTAATTTGTCTAAAAATACTGAAACAAATGATTGCCGTGCTGTTTGAAAGCTGAGAGAAGATGACAGGACAATGAGTAAGAGCTGGCTCAAGAACAAATAACGTCAAAACCAATTTAATTTCCTCCTTTGATAGGGTGACAGACCTTGTGAATAGAGGAGGATCTATTGATGTCTTATAACTTAAGTGAACCTTTTGATACTTTCTCTCATACCATTCTAATAAGCTAGTCAACCAGGGGAGCTATGCCCTGGAATAAATTCTGTCGGTGTGATTGCAGATCTGCCTGGAAAATTATAAAGCTCCATTCCCAGAACAGTTATGGACATTTCACTGTCAGAAAAAACCCAAACAAAAACAAAAAAGCAGTGGTATAGAGCAGAATATTTCCCGGCATTTTAGCGTTAAGTATTTTAGTTAAGGACTTTGATGATGCAGCAGATGAGTTTGCCAGTTACACCTGCAGGTGACATCAAACTGAGAGGTGCTGCAGGCATGCTGAAGGACAGGATTAGGATTCAAAGTGATGCTTACAATTTAGAGAAGTGGCTTGAAGAAAAAGCAAGTGGTGGCTCCCTACGGACATGTGGAAGTACTACAGTTGGGCAAAAACACAGCTGCAGAAACAGAGAACGAAGACAAAAACAGCCTGTGCAGCTGTTTCTTAAGAAAGGATCTGGGTATTGTACTAAATGAAAAGCTGAACACGAATCAACAGTATTTTCCACCGCAGAAAAGTCCAGCATCACACAGGGATGTACAAACAGAATTATGGCCTGTAAAATACATGATGCAAACCTGTTTTATGTGGTGTACCTGCCTGTTTTTGTGTAGCGCACTTCATGTTGGCCAACTGGAGAAAGTTCAGCAGAAAATAATGATCACAGGCCTAGCACACAGTATGTCCAGAGTAATGGAAGGAGTCAGAAGTGTTTGGCCTAGGCAAGAGAAAACTAAAAATAACTCAGTTTCAAATCTACAAAAGGCAGCTGCATTGAGCAGGCATAGAGGCTGTTCTACATACTCGCTTTGGATAAGAAAAGTAACGTGATACTTAAATTGCAGTGAAAGGATTTAGGTTAGGTGGTATGAATATTGATATAACTTGGAGAGGTTGCAGAATCTCGATTTAAAAACAGGTTGAATAAACCTCTGTCAGGAATGATGACATCAGTAAAGACGGTCCTGTTTTGGGGCTGAAAGATGGATGAGGTAACTTCTCAAAACCTGTGCCACCTCTACTTCTTGTGATTGTCCTGCAATTCTGTATGCCATGTAGTGGTCTTAGCAATCATCTTGAAAACTAATTCTGGTTGAAGCCTGCCTTTAAATTATTACAAACAATGGTGTAATTTGCTTGCAAAGTGCTAAACTTTGCAAGTGCTAAAGTTTTGTCAGTGTTGGATATCTTTATTAAAGTGAAATCTCTCTGTCCTTTCTTTTTGGGCATATGCAGTGTTTTTGCAAGACTATAGTGACACTTAATGATCTGTAAAATGCCTTTTACACTGCTGGAGTACACAGAAAGATTATATTCTGTGTGGGCAGTGTAGAGATGAAAGTGAGATAGGTATTTCAGTTAAATAATTGTGCATAGTTCTGGTTTAAATTCCTTCAGTTCTGCTTTCCTCTCTCTCACTTAAGTGAGAAACGCAGGGAAAATCAGGATTTTTAGGCTTTTTGAGTTACATTTAAAAGAGGAGCTGATCAAGTTAATGTGAATAGGGCCTTTGGCAAGATTAAGAAGCAGAAAGCAAGGAAAATAAAATAGGAATCCAGTGTTAAGAGACATTTATGCTGTATGAGTAGAAAACAAAAGGCAGGAGGAGGGGAAAAAGCTTTTAGCTCTGCAGCATTGATCTGCATACAGTGTTTGTATCTGTCAGGTTGGATTGTTTCACCATGCTAGTGGCTTGCAAAAAGTGTTAGGAAACTTTTGCCCCATCCTTTTCTTCTAGCAAACTTGATGAATGAGACTGGGTTAATGTTGATATCTGTATAGACTCTAGCACCTGCTGTGCTTTCCATTAGAAGAGCCAGGTTATACTGTTGCTATAATGTATATGGATGTTGGCGTACATACTGTGAGACCCTTAAAAGGCAGGGAGAAGGATTTGTGGTCTTTGTGAACTCTTTCCAGTTTTGGTGCTATACTAGCTCTTGGCTGTTCTGCCAAAATTGTCTTCAAGTATGTCTGTTAAGTGCCACTTAAGGTGATGGTGATAGTAGTGACCTGTAAAAGTCCTGTTATGTAGTCATCAGTTATACCTGCAGGAATATGTTCAGAAGCAAGTTTTTCAGAACTGTTGGAAAGCCTACTGCATTACATCTGGTGTCAGTGAAGAAGGTCTGATACTGGGTGTTGAGTGTGTTCATTTAAAGAGATGTTGACAAGTGCTACAGAAATTACTGCAGAAATCCCTTGAATTACAGATAATCCAAAATGGTTGCTGAAACAAAGAACATCTTATGGCAATAAAAGAAATTGTAGATAATATCAGCCAGCTTCTGCCTGTTGCTTTGTTTAATACATTTTGACCTTTCCTTCCTTCTGAGCATCTGGAGTCCTGCCTATCCGCTCATAGCACGGGAGTTTAGGATGCCTGTAGTACAGCAAGAGGACGTTCTGTTACATAGTCTGGGATCTAATGTTATCATTGCTTTAACATTTATGGTGGGTTTATGTCCAGCCACCAAAAAAATAAAAAAAAAAGATGGCAGCAAACTGGAAAGTATGCTGACTTTGACTTGAGGATCACGTAATTTCAAGATTCTCATTTTTTAAAGATATGGTAAAACACAGTATCATTTGCTGAACAAAGTAGCATGATGGTAGCTGTAGGGGTGAGATACCGTTGTGTTTAATAATACAATCTATCTGTTCATCTGTCAACCAGAACATCTTCCTCTGGCAACAAGTGAATCCGATTTCTCCCTTCCAATGTAATCGTTAAAGCATTTCATCTGCCATTTCTCCAGAGTCAGACTTGCCTGAAAAACAGCTTATAGTGATGGAAAAGCTCACTACAACGCATTAATTACATTCTAAAACACTTTCAAAAAGATATTTAGTGAATTTGAGGAAGTACATTTAAATGTGAATAGTAAGAGATGTTCATCAGTATTTTTAAGTATAACAAACTGAGGTTTATAGATAAATTGTCTTATAATTTACAGTTACTGAAACAGGATATTCCCCTTGAATGTCCATAAAGAGAAAATTACTGTTTGTGGGAGTTACTACCAGCTAGAATTTAAAGTTGCAAGATAAAGCTTTAAAGGTCAAGAAGGGTTAGAGCTAAGCGGTCTGCCAAATTCTTAGTTCTGCCAGTTACTGAGGGCAGAGAACAAGACAGTCCTTATTTATGTGATTGTGTGCTTGAAGGTCACATTGTTGTAGTATTTAATGAGATAAAGCGAGCCTGTATGTAGCGATGCACCCGTCGAAAGAGGAAGCTTTTTGCTCCATTCCCTGCATACAAGGAACTGAGGCCATCAGGAGCTTTCAAGCATAGGTACTAAAAGTGAAACTTTCCATTAAGGTC